AAGAAAAGTATAGAAAGTTCAGAAATACCTTATGATTCTCTTGTTTACATTTTTCTTGTAAACAAAAAACATGTCATAGCTACTTTAGTCCCATAAGCCTAATGTTAAAAATTTTAAATTTTAAGTTCGTTTTAAATTGCATTAGCATTATCTAATTGAAATTTGTTTGTTTACAAACCATCTCATTATTAGTCTAAGTCGTCTTGTTAAGTTTGGCTGAAATGTGTTCAGCCGTTATTGAGTGATGGTGTTATATTGTTTGCATTGAAGTTGATCCCAAAGAGCTTCGCTCGCTTCGCTCGCTCCGCTCAATTATTAATTTTGCCAAGTACCACAAAATAACAAGAACCAACGATATAAACAAATCGATGTAGTTTTTGTTTTTACATCGTTGCGCAGAACTGAAACTGAACTGAACTAGTAAGTTATGACTCATGAGTCGACTCGCTGAAGACCAAATACAACTGAGTTGGTTCTTTCTGGCGCATGCGCAGTAGGCTAGTCCAATTCCTGCCCTGAAACGCTCGCAACAATAGTGTCCATACGTTTGTTTAAAGCAATATTATTATTTAACACTTCTTTTACTAGTCCAATTAAGTTTCCAAACATAGTTTGTACGTCAATAGGGTTGTTAGCATCCTTTTCATTGGCTACTAACCTGTCAATTTTCCCAGCACATGTTGAGCAGAACCATTTTACATCTTCGTGTAATGTAATTCGTTAATAAGTTCGTATTTATGGTCGGTTATATTAAGGCACGATGGATGATACCATGATTTACAGAAACCATCACAATACAACCCACATCCATCACTTGGGATAATAATATCACATATAGAACAAGGAGCATCTTCACCATCGTCTGTCATCTTCTCCTGTCAATTCCTGTGTCCTAAGTGGGGACACAGAATTTGTAGCAAAAATCATGTTGCTACAATGAAACACAAATCAATGAAAACAAAACAATGGTTATAATAAAACATCTTGAGGCAATCTGGGTTTTAGTCGGAGTCTCTGGATTTCAGAAGGTTGGCCTGTGTTATAAAATCCAATGCTGCTGGTTAATGGAAGTTTTGTAAAAAATTTTGATGTAACTTTCTTGATAAAATCTTTCTATAGGTTTTATTCCCAGTTCTAAATGTATTTAACGGGTTCGAAAATACCAGGGACATTTTAGAATTATCCTTAAAACTTTATTTTGAAATGTTTGCAGTTTGCGAATTGAGCTTGGTGAAGCAGTTCCCCATACTGGGCAGGCGTATAACAATAGTGGACGTAGAAGTGTTTTGTATAAAAGGGTTCCATTCTTCATAGACATACATTAAAGGAAAAAATTTTGATAATCTGCCATAAGCCAAATTTAATTTTTTATTAATATGAAATTTCCAATTTAACTTTCGGTCGAAGTATACACCTAAATATTTTATTGCTTGGTCAGGAGGGTTCCATGCAATCTGTTCACCTAGAATTTCTAAATTTGGAGGATCTAGAGGTTTTCGGAGGGTAAAAATCTTCGCTTCACTCTTCATCGGATTTATGGCTATTCTCCATTTTGTGAACCATTCCACCAAATCGTTTAAGGAAATTTGAATGTTATTGTACGACGGCGCTGAAGGGCCACCAACTGTTAAAAAAATTTTGTCTTAATCTCTGAGTTAAAACTTAGAATTCTGAGTTTAAAGTCAGAATATAACGAGTGGGCGTTCCACTCTGAGATTAAAGTCAGAATTCAACTAGTGGGCGTTCCTCTCTGTGAAAGGAGTTAGAATTCTGAGATTAAAGTCAGAATTGAATTGTGGGCGTTCCTCTCTGAGAAAAAAGTCAGAATATAACTAGTGGGCGTTCAACTCTTAAGTCAGAATTGAACTGTGGGCGTTCCTCTCTTATTGCAACGATATTATCAGCATATCAATGCTATCATCCCTACTATCTTAGACAAAAGAAATAATATAAATTTCATTTCTGTTGTCTATTCTACTGTGTTCTTCTACTTGCAACGTTGCCAATTCTACCAGGCCGCGGCCTGGGGTTAAAGGTGGCCTTGAGAAGAGTAGAGTAGTAGAGACTAGAGACTAGATAGAGTCAAGTCCAATTCTTACGTTAATCTCAGAGATGAACGCCCACAATTCAATTCTGACTTAAATCTCAGAATTCTAACTCCTTTCACAGAGAGGAACGCCCACTTGTTAAATTCTGACTTTAATCTCAGAGGGGAACGCCCACTAGTTGAATTCTGACTTTAATCTCAGAGTGGAACGCCCACTTGTTATATTCTTACTTTAAACTCAGAATTCTATGTTTTTTCTCAGAGATTAAGAAAAATATTTTTTTATAGTTGGTGGCCCTTCAGCGCCGTCGTATTATTGGCCACAACTTCGATGTCATAAATCTAACCAAAATAGAAGAAGAAGAAGAAGAAGGCCGTAACTTCAAAACAATCGTAGCCGTAGCCCGTAGCTCGTTGGTTGTTGGTTAGGTTGTGCACGCTGACGCTGACGCAACGCAAGTGATCCGTCGTTGGCGTCGTTGGTCAATGAAAACCTAGTATCCCAATATTAATATCGTGTAGTAGTAGTGCTTATTAAGTGACTCCCCTTGAATTGTCATTTGTAGAAGTTTGCCTTCCTAGGCTAGATAAGAGAAATTATGGACCAAAATAAAGAGCAAACTCAATCAAAAGTTCCTATGGTTTATATCTGTGGAGGTAGGCCTATGAGAGTTAAGTTTTTTTTATATTGATATTTCCGCACTATTAACAAAAAATAACTATTAGGCAACACACCTAGGTGTAACAACTTAGGTTACATTTTGAATCTTTATCTGCGTATGCTATAAAAATAACTCGGTAAATAAAAAAATCACCTACCCAGTAGGTCTAGTGAAAAGGTTATGTTTGTACTTTTAATAAGCTGTCATTGGTGCTAGGGATACAGACTTAATGATTTAGCCAGCTTGAAGCTTGTTTATTGACAGAATGTTGTTCCAAAATAATCTTTAGAAAAAAAATTTGGGTCTTGTTGAGTCCTTTGCCTAATGTAACTTAATCGGGGCTGAGACTGATTTTAGGATTGCATTTAAAAGCTTTAAAATACAGGGTGAATTAGCATGTTCACTCACAAACCTTAGAAGTAATCGGAGAGTTTGATTTTGCTTTCTACTGAAATGACTGATTTCTAAGTCATTTTATCCTTAGTTAATGAGTTTCAGAGTAAGTTACCTAATGACACTTTAAACTACCTACCATAGCCAAATCTGAGATTAGCTGACAAGCAAACGCTAACTTAATTATTATTATTAGCAGCACCAATAAGTAGGGATTACAACAAGTAAGGGCCCTAACTTATAATACAGAGCCACAGCAGTGGGGATCGCGCACCAATGCTCCTGACGTGCAAACAAGCGATACCGCAATGATAAGGAGCTTTCACCGTGATTTGGTGAGGGTGAGCCACTCCAGTCGCGCACTCTCGCTTCTTTTAGCGGCAACTGTGGCTGTGGTAGCGGACCATTGGTTGCTACGGCGCTTATTATAACTTACTGCGCTATAAGGACAATGACAACATCATAGCTCTTTACTAGCTGTTTTGTGTTTGCTTCGTAAATCTTCTGTATATCTATTTCTGTAACCAAGTTATTATTTTGTTAGATATTTATGTATATTGAGTAACCTAGCGTTTTTATCTTTGAGAAAGTGCCAATCCGTCCTTAGCAGAAATTGTGTTCTTGTAGTTTGTATTGAGGTTTCTGTTGTCTTCTTCAATGTCTTGAATAAGTCCATCAAAGTATGAAAACCCCCTTTGATGGCCTTCCTAATAAAAACAGGGATGTACTTCAATGCTCCTCTTCTTTCGCCGATTTCTTTTTCTTAGAAAGGAAAGAAGCAACATGTCCTCTTTCTCACTTGACAAAGACATCTTTCACTGACGTTCGCTAATCTCTAGGTCAAGCCACTGCTGTGGCTTGCATGCGCCACAGGTGTGGCCAGACGCGTGTGACACCTCGGTGGTGATCGCACGATTGCAGTGGCTCAAAATAGCCGTCTAAGTTAAGGAGTCTAATAACAGACATCTGTTAAGACTCCTTAAAAACTTACTTGCTGTAATCTCTAATATACTTACTAGCTCAACAGCTAAATATAGCAGGTGAATACTAAAAAAAATACCCCCGCCGCAGCAAACCTGCCGACTAAGCGAATTTCCATTTGTCTGAATTGATTTTCAGTTAAATATATTTTAATAACATTGGGTTTAACGAGTACCTAGGTTTGCTGCTACAAGGAAACTAATAAAGTGTGTTTTTGAGTAAAATATTTATAGCTTAGTACAAAATAAATAAATTTGCCAAGTTTGATCAAAATATATTCATAAACAAGCAAACTACAATATTTGACAATATTCTCCATAAGAATAACATGGGAATTTTAAATTTACAATTTTTTTAATTTTCTCCGTTACTAATAATCGAACAAAAATACTTTTATTTACCAAATTATTTGTTTTTTTAAGCTCTTTAAGAAGGTTTAGAGAAAAATTGGGAAATTTTGTGTTTTGAGGGTAAAAAGTGAGAAAAACCAATTTTTACCCCATAAAACTCCCCATAAAACCCTGTTCCCATGGACCGATCATGCTGGATCGCGAACTCATTCAAGTTTATCCCGCCTTACACCTTCAAACCAAATTTCATCAAAATCTGATAAAAATTACTCAAGTTATCGTGTTCACGGACACATATATATATATATATCTATATATATATACATATATAAAAATTTGAACGAATGGTGTTTTTGGCCTCTGGGGACATTAAAATGAAAAAGTAAATCAGTCCCGGGCCTAAGTCTTACCATGAGACCTACGGTAATAGCTACTTCCCTATAGGGAAATTCGCTAAAATGATTTTATAAAAATCCATCAATATAGAATATAGTATGAATTTCTGTAGCTTATTTAGGTGGTTTGTGATCACTGTGTCTGTAGTGATGCCTGTTTTTCCCCCTTTAGAGTGTCACCATGAGAATGAGATCAGGCCACGAGACCCCATCCGCTGTCGAGAATGTGGGTACCGTATAATGTACAAGAAGCGAACCAAGAGATGTATCCTTTTACACTAAAAAAATCACCATCTTAAAGGAAAAAAAGTACTTTAGTAGGTAATGTAGGTGCTATTTATAAGCTTATGGTAGCTGACAGCTCCTTAGTAATACCTTTGACTATTAATACAACAACTAGACATTCCATCCCCATGTTAAAGTTGTAACCAGGATTTTAATAAAATTTGTCTTAGTTGATGTGAGCCACCTACAGAATGCGCTGATCTAAATTACTGATTTCTGCCGATTACATGATGGTTTTTACCAAGTCAAACTGATGGAATGACTTCTGTATCCAATAGTCAATGGTAATACATAAGTTACCTTTTTCTTCATGCTCGTAAATCAGCAGTCATAATTGAATAGTAACCTTACACTCCTTCAAAAATAAAGAATATGGCTGCTAACCCAACAATTTGACAAAACAGGTCTGGTAGGCCTGTTACAAGACTTATCCAAGTTACAAAACTTGGATAACTAAGTGTTTTCTGGTGAAATTTTACAAAGATTGTGTAAAATGAAAATGCTTTAATAACCATAATCTTAAAACAAAACATCCATGCTCGTGGCTTTAAAAGGACTTAGTAATGGCTGTAATAAAACGGAATTTAAAATTTGTACTTCTATTTACACATAGGTAGGGCCTACTGAATTTATAAAGGTTATTTGTACACAATATCTACCGGAAATAATTAAGTAGACCTAACATTAACCAATCTAGAAGTTGACCGCCAATAAATTTTGGAAACCATAACTGATACTGATATTGTTTTTAAATTTTACCTGATGATTTTTTTTTACCTACAAACATTTTATTTTTACGCATGTCACTTGTGAAACCTACTTAGGAATCACAGTTTGTTGTTTAAGGTGTCTGCCAAAACAATTTGCACACCCAGAAGCATCAGTAGACTTGCATATGATAAAATATAATAGTTTTACATCAATATGTTTTGACCATTTCCTTAACATGTAACTCAGTGGTGGTGTTTGATGCTCGATGAAGATCATCCCGTTTTCTCCAGTGTGTTCTACCTTTTGTTTTGTGTAACTATCTTAATGTAAATAAAACAATTCTTTTGTATTTTAACTTTTTTGTGTATATTTTTGTCAACTCATCCCTCCGGTTTTAACATGTTAATGTTTCCAAACAATAAATTGTACGTACAGTCTATTATTTTACTGGTACTCTTTGTTGGAGTAAGTCAGCAAGTCTATGGCTACTGGTTAGGATGTAAAACTTGGACTTGGATTAGCCTACATTGATTTATGTCAAGTTTTAAAGTTCTATTTGTATAGAACCTCAAGCTGTAAGTAAACAAAATAAATAATAAAATTTAAAGTCCACCTGCTAGGAATAATAGATCGGTGACTTTGCCAAGAACTGTTTCTGTTGTAGGCCTACTCCATTAAAAATATGAAATTTACTCTATACATTTTTCCTTCAGTTCCCACAAAATGGGCTTCTTTGCATTGATTATATACTTTGTTGCATGGTTTTTATTTTGTCGCACACCAGTATTCCAACCAAATAACACAAAACAGCGTTCTTTTATTATGCACAAAATGGGCTTCTTTGCATTGATTATATACTTTGTTGCATGGTTTTTATTTTGTCGCACACCAGTATTCCAACCAAATAACACAAAACAGCGTTCTTTTATTATGCACGTAATCTGTGTACCCTTGAAAACAAGTTAGCAACACTTAAAGATATTGCGACTACGTTTCCCCATTTCGTTCAATGTTTGGATTGAACCTAACCTAAAAACGTGTTGTACAGTGTTTGAAAGACTAAATATTTATATGATTTATAATAACTGTAGGAAAAATAAAATGTGTAACACGAGTGCAAACTGCCTTTGCTGCACACGAGAAACTTTCCACACTCCTCTACGGCTCTGCGTAAACATTTCTCTCATGTGCAACAAAGTGCCACTTCGCTCACAAGTTACTCAAATAACTATTGCAGCATGGCAACTCATTTATCTCTCAAAATAGCAACAATATGTACAGTACATAAGTTAGGCCTAACTGTACAAGAAGTTTAAGAAGTAACTTACTGTACAAAAAATAAGTTCCTAAGAGAATATAAAATATCATTCTGTTTGTAGACATGTGCAAATTGAAGTATGCTACACAAGACATAGTTCAAAATAACAATTTAGATGTGTAGGATCGTGATGGTGAATCCCCTTGACATTGTACCCTTTCTACAGCCGCCAAAGGAACTTAACTAATGCAAAGTATAATTTCATTTTCAAACCATTAATGATCTGCCTACTATCTTTACCTGGTCCTGACTGGTATGAAGTTAAATATTTTCCTTTCATGTACAGTATGAAGATCACGTCATTGTTGTTTGGGTACGTAATGAAAACACTCAGTCAAATTATATTTTTTTAATATAGAAAATCTTCAAGGTACGTTTCCATTTCAGTAATCCCTACATGGTATTTGTGCCAGTGAATATTTTATGGCAGGCAGTTTTATTCAATCAAAGACAATCACAAATCCTGGCACATTGCCTCAATGGCAAATTAACTGTAGGAGTTGCAAAAATGAAATCGTTCCCGAGTACAAAACAATACATTTATATAATCATAGAACTCTTGATTATCGTATGTAGAAACACAAATAAATGAGATACAGTACCAATAGTTTAACCGTCTAAAATTCACGTAGTAGTAAAATATATAGGTATATTTTTATGGTGGTTAAAATGTACAAAGACAATTTTGGAACAGGTTACCAGTAGTTTTTGAGCAATTTGTGTTCTAACAGAGGCTTAAAATATGTTTCTTGGGTCACAAATTTATATTTCTTTAAATATGTAGATCAAACAAATTCTGGACATGGATTATTATTTTGATGTACCATTTGTTTACAAACTAATGTCTTATCCAGTGTTTTCCCTCTGTGTTTTCAAAAATAATTAGGCTATTTACTACATTTTTTTTGCCAATATGACATTTTGTTTGCCTGTCCATGTCAATTTGGTTACCATCGGTTTCTTCTCGGGAAAACACTTTAGTAAATTTTGTGTGGGTAGTTATACAAGTTTTTTTTTTATTTTAAAGACATGTATAACAAAGATTGAAATATGACTGAACAGATCTAATTATTGAACACCAACTGCTTACAAGTATTGTACCGGTACGGTTAATGTATAGTTCTTAAAATTCCACATGATAACTTCATACAACAGAGTAGTTCTTCTATTTTTATATAGCATAGATACCCAAGCTATAGAACCACTACAGTTATTGATGAATGACAGGAGCTCTGAAGAGATATTTTGTCATAACTAAACATTAAATTTTAATTTAGAATTGATCTAGATGTAACCAGAATGTATCAAAATAGCATTGTCAACAATTGTGTTTTCTGTAAGTGAAGATATTTTGAGGAAACTACTATCCTTGTTAAGTTTACTTGCAGGTGATGCACTTCATACACTCTTCAACAATTGGATTACTAACACAAACACAAAGTAACCCAACACAGGTTGTAGTGCAAAGAAACTATTACATATTGAAGAAGTAAAAATTTGGCGATTTGGGAAATTTTTCTAAATTTTAATTAGGCCTATTGATGAAAAAATTCCTGACAGTTAATATATATAAGAGAAATTCAGAACCTTAAATCAATAAAACGTAACCCCTCGTCTAAATTTTCAAGGTGACTAGAGATAATCTAACTTATTTTCAAGTAATTGGTCTGGTAATATCACAACAACAACAAATGAAGTTGTGCTATAGTTTAAAGCGCATAACTTGCAGAGGGTAAATTGTTTTGATGATTTTGGTTAAGATATCCGGTGTTTTATCATACAAACATTACTAGACCGATATATATACACTATGTATAGTCAATGACGCAAGTACAAAACTAATGCCGGTTTTAGAATTTGCGTTAGATGGTTGGATTTGAAAAATTACCTGCTTACTTAAGAAGCTGTTTAAATACTAGTGGGCCTATATTATTTTTAAATTTTAGTTGGTTGGGATATAAGTTCAACACGATAAAGACATCTTTCCATTTAAAAAATAGCAATGGCTGTAGAATAACTTCCCCACATTCAGCATTTGACCTAGGGTTTCTGAAATTGAGTTGGCATTTCTATTTTCTCTCACATAATTTTATTAAAAAACTTCACTTCAAATAGCTTTTGACATCACAACAACAGGAAATAAAAATTCCTCACCCAAATCTCCAGTATTTGGTTGTATTGTGCTATCTACATATTATGCGTATAACAAAATAGCCATATCGTTTAAAAGTTTTCTCTTATCACTGTAGACAAAATAGTTCTATTATAACAACAGGTAATTACTAGTAAATTGGCTATTGAAGCAAGATTGAACCTAAGCAATATTGCTATTGATCAATGGATCGCTACATTCATTTCAGGCCTGTTACAATCTTGCTGCTTTAAACATAGACTATCCATTAAACATCTAACTATAAAGTAATCAAATACAAGAGATCTCTTTGATATAAAAATCTTATACAAATTATCATATTTGTTACGTTTCTTTCAACAACAAACTCTTTTAAGCTCCAAAGTTTGAAAAAAAAAAACGTAACATGCAGGAAGACTTAGTTATAATTTATTTCTTTGGAAATTATGTTTAATTATATTGATTATGATTACATATCTATTACAAATTATTAGCCTTATTTAACGTAATAGGATAAATAATACTGTTATTGTAGAATCACCTATGACTCTGGTAACAGATCACTCAGAATACCCAATAGTTTTTATAACATAAACTAAAACTGTGTGAACGAGCAACAGAAATAATATCCTGCTGGTCACATTTTTTTACCAACAGCAGCATCACGATATAATAGTACCTTGATAATAGATTAGGAGAATGCCATGTTATTTTTTGTAATATTGTCTCGGAGCAAGTGAAATAACGCTGATTGATTCTTCCGATTAAAAGCGAGTACAGTATTACAAAATAATTTATTACCTTGGTAATAAATTACTGAGAATAACTTGTGTAACTTTATACAAACTGTTAGAACAAGCGATTGAAAAAAACACTGATCGTTATTAACAACTAACAGCTGAAATATAGTAAACGAGGAAGTAATAGGTGACAAAAATAATAGTATTATTTCACCCATTACCAAAAAGCTAAGGAACGTTCCTTACTATTATTGCAAAGTAACAATATGTCCCATCTCTATTTAAAATACATAGCCTAATCATTATGAATAAAATTATGCTATGGAATCATAAAACAAAATGCAGCTATTTACTAATACCTTTCTAATACTACAAGTATATAGTTGGAGTTGGAACATATTCTCAAAATCCATATGTAAACAAATATAATGGAAATAAATTTAACAACTGGAAAACCTATAGGCTGAAGTAACTAAATAGTTTTTAACAATCTTCATACCTCCAACTCAACTTGGATGATTTTGAACTCTAATTAAATCATTCTAAGAGAGAACGCCAATATATACAAATTTGTGGAAACTAAAAGTTAAGAATATTCATCACCTGCGGGCAGGTTGCGTTTTGGGGACAAGCACCTAATGGGGTTGGGATAACGTTGTGTGGGTAAACAGGTAGCGTGGGTTCAATATGCGCGCCTTTCTGAAAATATCGCAAACACCCGACTATCTTGACTTTGAAAGTCAACCAGAGCGATTCAGCCTTACAAAACAATTATGGCCAAGCAAATTTATAATATGTGTAGCCTTTATTTATATTACGTGTCATTATATGTTTGAATTCCGAATAATTTATTACAAAAAATAATTATGATTTAATCGTTATTAGTATAGAGTTTTTACCACAAATGCGTGACAAATAATAAGAATTAAAAAAAAATTTATATTATTATATAGGCCTACAAGACTATAGAAAGAAGACAATGAGACCTATAAGACTGAGATGGGTGTGTGCCGATTTCAAGGTAAATTACAAAAAGTAAAGACAGACATTTTGCGAACGGCTAGTAGTACTGTACCAACAGCTGTGTGCTTTTAAACCGAAACTTAGCCTAGTATTTAGTTTTTTTGGCCGACGTTACTGACCCAATCCTTTTGATTTATTTCTTT